ACTACAGAGATGAAGACCTATAATTAAAGAAGAAAAGTTGAATATTAATGACTTAAGCATCTAATTTTAGAAGTTAAAAAAATTCTATATTGAGTTTAAAGAAAGTGAAAGAGGAGGTAATAAGAGTGAGAGTAAGACAGAAAAAAAAAAGACCCAAAAAGAATTAACAACATAATTTTGTAAAAATAAGAATAAAATGAACAACTTCTGGTGATACTGATCAATTAAAAAAAGTGAAAATATATGAGCAATTAATAAAGATACAACTAAAGTTATTACAGATATTAAAAATTAAAACTCTAAAACAATACAGAGGAAATACAGATTTTTAAGAAGAAATACAGATTATGTATTATTTTATATTGTGTTCTCTTTAGAACTCTGAAAAACTTCCATATTTTCTTTTCTTTTTAACTTTTAAAGAGAAAAATACAGAGACATATTTTTGCGATTTGTAATAAAAAAGGACTGCTTAAACATAGAATTATAGAATAAGAGGCTGATTAATTTGACTTTTAAAATTAATTTCAGGTTAGCCCCATAGCTTACAGGTTAAGCCCTATGTACAGGAAGTGAGATCCCACATGGCCTATTATGTTTGAATCTGCTATGATGGTTTGAAAACCATACCAGGTGCATGTGCAGACACGCCTAAAATCCCGATGAGTTAGAAACAAGGAGGAAAAAGTTTTGTAGTATGACTATGTCTTAAACTTTTAAGCAAAAGTTACTGTACACAGTCGTGCAGGTTACATACTGCACAAGGATCCTCCATATAAAAGGTGTTATTAAAAACAGTCAATGTGAAAGAAGTGTGAGGAGTTTTTCAAGCACTCTCTGTCTCTCTTACTGGTGAGCATATGCATCCACTGGGAATTAAAAACATCTTAAAAAGAAAATTAATTTCAAAATGATATCAGCTGGGACCATGGAGTAAGAACCTTCAAAACATCTTTTTCTATAAAAGTAACAAGAACACTGGCCAAAAAAAACATTGTTGAAACCAACTATTTCAGAGTCCTGAAAACTAACCAAAGACTCACACAAATCTGGGGAGCATTATATTCAAGAAAAAACTAGCTGGATCTCTTGAAGAACAGCTCTATGATGACTTATAAACCAACAGCCCACAACTGTGGGGAAAACAAACAACCCACAAGCCTCTAGAGCCAGAGCAGGATTAGAGCTCACTCAAAGCCCTACTTCCAGAGAACTGTCATCATTTGGCCTGCCTGGCTGTTCCCTGGAAAACCCCACTCACAAAGCTCATCTTTATTCCACCTGACTCAGAGCACACACAGTGCAACCAACCTTTCTCTAATGCATTTCTCAAAAGCAATAGCAATTGTTTACTATCACAGGTGCCTGAGGAAGTTCAACATTTGATAACCCCCAAACCCTAGATTTTTCCATATCTAGGAATTCAAAGAAATTCTTGGAGATCAGCAGTTGGCACATAATGGCTATGTTGCTGGTCTCCCACGTAGTCGATTGTGGTTCGAGTCCCAGATCCAGTGGCTTAAACTCACGCCAGGCACATGTGTGTGTGTGCCCAAAATCCCGAGAGGAGAATGGAGGAGAAGGAACTGTGGCATGGCCAACCCCCCTGGGGGGTGATTTCTTGTTTTCTGTCTCTCTGTCTCTGTCTTTCTGGCGAGCACATGTGCAAAAACCTCCCCCCCAAAAAAAGAAAAATTCTTGTGCTTATGTTTTCAGGGTTGGGTAAGAGTCTACAGTCTCATTTGTATCAGCTGAAGACCAAAAATTACTCAAATGACCATTGGACAGTAGAGTGGATAAATTGTAGTATATTTATATAATATTTTTATAACTCTATTCGGGATCAAAACATATATAATGCTACAACTACATTTGGTATTATCAAATATTATAAAAATAAAATACATTAAACATATTTAAGAGCATCATCACTATGTATATGGAGGGGTGGGTAGGATTTATGTGCAAAACCAAGAGTACAACATTTAAGAAGAGAATGGAGAAACAAAAGTGCAGAGGAGGAAATTAATATGACACAGAGAATCAGTAAAAATGTGTAAGATCATAAGAGAATCCTAACAGTGTCATAACAGATTCCTGCTTATGTGTCAGAGATACATTTACATACATTGTATGCAGAGTCTACTACTGATAGTCATATTTCATGTATGAGTAAATGAAGTTTGAGAGGTAATTATGTGTGTGTATTGTTTCTTTGTGTGTGTGTGTGTGTGTGTTTGTTTCTTTGTGTGTGTGTGTGTGTTTGCTATAGGGCGCTTGCGCTCGCCAGAAAGACAGAGAGAGACAGAGAGACAGAAAGCAAGAAATCACCATCCAGGGGGGATGGCCATGCTGCAATCCCTTCTCCTCCATTCTCCTCTCGGGATCTTGGGCATGCACGTACATGCGCCCGGCGTGAGTTTAAGCCACCGGTCCAGGACTCGAACCACAGTTAACTACATGGGAGTCCAGCGACATAGCCATTATGCTAACTTCTGGTCCCCGTAAATGAAGTTTAAGCCTGGTTAAGTAACCTTCACAAGTTGATATGGGCAGATAGATAACAGTGCTGGAATCGTAATTCAACTTGGATGTCTTATTTGGTCTTTTAATGAATTGGGCTTAACAGTTATGAAATGTTTCTGAGTATCAATTAGTTCTCAAACTGCAACAGGAGTCAAGTCTACCTGGATAGTTAGATAATACACAGACTTCTGGCTTCAGTCCTCAGAGCTGATTCATAAGTCTGGGATGAGACCTGAGATGTACTAACTTTTACTATGTTTTTGGCAAGTAATATTGATGCTCTTGGATCAAGGACCATACTTGGAGAACCAGAGATTTATGTCTCTGGTAATATTCCTTTTACTGCAGTCTAATTTGTCTGCCCTTAATATACACATTCAATCTTTCTTTTGATTAGTGTTTGTATGGTATATTGTTTCCTACCCTTTCATTTTTAATCTATCAATGTCTATATTTAAAGTAGATTTTTTTTACAAATAGTTTTAATCTGACAGTCTATTTTCCTGACTCCCTTAATTCCTTCCTTACTTATGTATTTCTTTTTTTTTAAGAGGTTTTTTTTCTATAGGTCGCTTGTGCTCACCAGAAAGACAGAGAGAGACAGAGAGACAGAAAGCAAGAATCACTCCCCAATGGGGGATGGCCATGCTGCAATCCCTTCTCTTCCATTCTCCTCTCGGGATCTTGGGCACACACGCATACGTGTCTGGCGTTAGTTTAAGCTGCTGGGTCCAGGACTTGAACCATGGTTGACTACATGGGAGTCCAGCGACATAGCCATAACTGCTGGTCTTCTTACTTCTGTATTTCTGTGGGGTGTGGGTGTGCACCCAAGAGGGAGAAAGGAAGGAAGAGAAAGCACCCCCCAAGAAGGCTTGGTCATAGCACAATCCTTTTTCCTCCAATTCTCTATCATGTCAGAATCCTGGACAGGCACACATAACATTCCTCTCATTTTTCAAGCCATACAAGCCAGGACTCAAACCCTGGCCAGTCATGTGGGATCTAGCTTTCTTGACACGACACTCAACTGCTACACTATAGGACCAGCCCAATCTATTTATTTTAATTGTAGAATTTGGACAATTTATAATTAATGTAATTACTGATTGCTTGGACTAAGGTTTACCAATCTTGAGTTTTGTTTTCTGTGTTCTTTCTTTTTTCTATATTTATATCTTCTTTTGGATGAATAAACTTGTAATATTCCATTACAACAACATCACCAGTTTGTTAGTCACACGTTTGTCTATTTACAGCTTTTACCAAATGTGAAACCATTTTGTCATTATTTTTAAAAATACTCTTCTTCTTTTCCTTTTAAAATATCAATAATGCAGACTGCCAGAGATGGTTCACAGGTTGCAAAGCATATGTCAGTTTCACTAATGTTTTACATCCGAAATGAACTAACCATATTTTGGCTCCTGAGTACATCAATCAGCATTGTTCTGCCAACAGATTGAAAGTTAGAAACCCTCCTCAACCCACAACTATTAATGAGTGCCCTACCATGTATGAAATCTAGAATGTAGAGGGAGTACATGCCAGGGTAAAGAAAGCTGATATAGGGCAGGTGGAACTACCAGCATGATGTGCTCGCCATGAGCTTGTTTTGTTGCTGTTTTTTTTTAAACCGAAATATTTTTGGTAAGTACTTAATACTCCTCCTAAATTTAAGGAGGTTATTTTTAATTACTTGTCAAGTTCACACAGAAAGTACGTGACCATGTTCTGAAATCTGAATTCCCACTGTGAATTTTACTAGAATGAGAAGTTCCCTTTCCATTTCTTCTCCCTGGCCTTGTGGTCACACACTATAGGTATTTCTTAGGTCCATGTGACATCTAGAGAATGTTTTCTTGTCTTGAGACCAAGGCAGATGGCCTTACACAAGTGACCAAGAGAAACCTAAGCTTTTTCTTTTCCCATTTGCTATCTTTCTTTCTTTTTCTTCCTCTGTTTGATCATCCATCCATTCCATTCATTCATCATTTTTTCTTTCTTCTTTTCAATATTGTTAGAGGGTATATGTGCTTACGGAATTGAAAGAGAAAGAAAGAGAAGAGAGAAAGTCCCCTCTCCCCCAAGTATGGTCACATCGCAATCCATTCTCCCCTATTTCTCCCTTTTGTCAGGATTTTGGGCATACATGCACACACACTCAACATGTTTTTTAAGACTCCCAAACTTGAACTATGCAGTCAGCCATATGGGATCCAGCTGCCTTAACCACCATGCCACTAGCTGGTCTCAGAGTTTTTATTTGAGCAAAAATATACTTAATTTTAGGTAAGTCAGAGGAGTAATTATAATTTCTAGGTTTAAGGATGTCAGGATCCAACTTATAGAATATTCTCCAAAAGGTATTCTCTTGGCCTTTGATGGGATCTATTTTCACACTTTATGGTAAAGTCAAGCAAAAACTGATCATGAGGGCTTTCAAAATTTAAAAATATTATTTATTTTGTATAGTCAGTTATCTTTATAATTATTTATTTATGGCCTATAGATATTACTTAATTTTAAGATAGATATATGTAGTGATACACTGAGCACATGGGCAATAAATACTTATTAAACCAAAGTGAATAGACAAACACCATCAATATGCCATTTTTAACAACCAAACCAGCTATTGCTTTTCAGCCTTTTGGTGACACGATGGTGTACAACATCATATTCAAACTGAGTAGCTCCTTGGAAGAAATAGTAGTGTCCTAAAAATGAAAATAATAATAAAAATTAAATTTTCTCCTTGTATTTTTTTTTAAAAACAATAACCCAGATTTGTCTTAGTAGTTGGTCCAGATTAGATAAGATGTGATTTCAGAATGTAAATGTTGTGGGCCTCTGGTTGTGCATCTGGCCCCACATATCTGCCTATAGCCAACCACACTCCAGGTGGAGTTTTTAAGAGAGAGGATTTGGGCCCAAGGGGGGCATACTGGGTCCATGATGGAGAGGATATTGGGGAGAAAATAAAAACAAAAAATTCTTGGCCCAGTGAATGATTTGCTTGGGCTGCTCTTGCTTCACAACATGAACTCAAGCTTTTCTCATCCAACCTAAAGGCCCACCCAGTCCATGAGGGCTCTGAGGACAAAAGGGCCTGAAAGAAAGGTCAAGAATACAAGGTGTGGAACCAGCAGATGGTGCAATAATTATGTTGCTGAACTCCCACATAGTTGACTGTGGTTTGAGTTCCATAGTAAAAAATTTCTCACTAAAAAAAAAGAATACAGGGAGTAAGATTGTGAGACTCTTGGCTTGCTTGCCTTGGCTGCTTTATGTTCACTTGCACATACTGCGTGCTGATGTGGTTGTAGGAAATACCAGGCTCAAGCACACAGGAAGTAGCCATGTTTCCATCCTTCTGCTGGCTGGACCACCCTAGGAATACACCGTGGTGCCACCAGGCCCCTGCTCATTCTTCTAGCCCAACTGTTCTGACCCAAGCACAGTTGAGTGTTCCCTCTGTGGTCTATAAACCACCACCAGAGTCCTGTTCTTGCCCAGTTTAGAGCCCCATTCTCTGATCTTGGAGGCTTTCTAATTGCTTCAATGTTTTAAATGGGATTTCCTATATTTTTGCAATTTCCTAATCTACTTACTTTTAAAATAGAAGGCTGCATCAATTTTAGGCCCAATTCCTTGGAAGTTCTTGCTAATCAGTTTCGGATAAGTGGGGTCCATGGATCTTCTCCTCTCGTCATACCTGACCAAAGAAATAACCAGCCAGAACTCAATCAGAAATGGATTTCATGGCAAACCACAAAACCCATTTTCTTCTCTGCTGAGGGATTCTTCCCAGAAGGGTTTAAACTGTACTGACTAAGAAAACCAACTATTGTAAGCTAGGTTGACAATGAAAACAACTATTGTAAGCTAGGTTGACAATAAATATTTCAGTCCTGTTCTATGGATTCCTCTCCCAGCAAGGTCAAGAATCTTCGGAAACTTGCATAGTAAACTACCTTCTGGAAAACTCTATCTCATTCCATGCCTGCTTCAGAACTCTTAGGTGCTGAACTACCACCCATACATTAAAGCTCACCTCCAGTACTGGTCATCTACAAAGAAGTAGGTCTTAGAGATAAGTGGGTTATAAACAGCTGCATCGATTTTTTTCACAGAGTCAGGGAAGCCCAGAGAATGTATGCTTTTGGGATAGTTAGGCTGTGGTCTTAAATTGCTAATTAACCAGTACTTGTCATCTATGAAGACAAAGAGAAAAGGTATGTTAAAATTAAACAAAAAGAGCAATAAAATATTGCAAACAATAAATATCATAATTTCCCCATAGTTCTAAAATACATTACATGTTATATCTTAACATGGTCTTATTTCCTCATGTGCCCCAAATCCCTACAAGATGGAGAAATGAAGAGAAGAAATGGTGGTCTAACAATGCCCCAATGGGAGTTGTATTTTTTCTCCCTCTCTCTCTCCTTCTCTCTCTCTCTCTCTCAAGTGCACATGCTCTCTGGCAACTTAGGAAAAAAATGGCCTATTTCCTATGGTTCCATATGTTTTTCACAAGACTTCTATTTCTCAAATTTTCTTAAAAATTTTATATATTATCTACATATTTAGGCTATTTTAGCTTACATTTTAGAGCCACCATTAATAAAATAGGAAATACTTTTTGTTCTATGTCTATCAAAAATAGTAAAATCTCTTAATTTTTTTCTTTACCTTGAAGTAGACTCTTTAGCAAAATTAAATATTAGAATTACCTTTAAAAAGAAACACTTGATTTCTGTCTCCAATTTCATAAGCAGCTTGAATGTTAGATGGCAAAGTTGGCCAGAAGGAAGAAATTAAAGTAATCTTGGTCTTTGCTCTCTCAGAATACTTCCACCAGAAGGACCTGACACGAAAGACATTTAGTGAATTAGAAATGATAAATTCAAGGACCATGAGCTGTGTTTGGGAAGGACCTGTAAAATGACTTAATGTTTCTTCTCATTTTCTTCACATTCTGTTCCATGGATGTCTGTGTAGAAGCACCACAAGGAAAGGGCTTTAATCAACTCTGCTAGTAATAGTGACTTTAACCAGCAACCTCATGAGGTTATCAATACCCTGTAATGTTGAGTTCTGAAACCTAAGGTCCTAGATTGGCCACACAACCCACTCACCAGCTTTGTAACTACGATGAAGTCACCTAACCTGAGTGTCTCAATTTTATAAGCTCAATAGGGGAATATTTGTCCTTCTGCCCAATATTGTCTTCCCAACTACCCATCCCCCACTAATATCTGCTTCAATCTGTTTTCTAAAACAGCATCTCAATAATCGAGGTATCAGGTCTGTTACATAAATACTCTTTCCAGCCTAATTCCGGCTTCACAATTTTTTTCCATGATTAAAATAGTCTGACTCCTGTGATTCTGTTTCCTAATTCCCAAACCCAGATCCCCACCACAAATCTGTTTTCTACACATGAATTTTCTAGTTAAAGCACATGTGTAATCACAACACTTTCCTCCTTCTAAACCTCCAAGAACTCTCTAGGCCTAACAGACTCAAGTTTGAGTCCCTGCTTATGAGTTTCACCTCTTTCATTGTTAATCTTTCCCCACTAATCTTTGACAAAATCTAAGGACAGAGTCTTTACTATTGGTTAGTATGAAATTATTTTTACCTGTTTTTAAAGAAAAACAGTTTATCTCTCACAGTAGTGACAGCATCAAAACTCAAATTAGGGTCGCAGATAGTTGAGTCAGGACTCTCAGGACCTGGTGCGGGTTGGGGCTTTCCTGGGCCTCCTGAAATAAATGTCAAGAAGCATTAGGGGGCTGGCAGAGGGCATGGTGGTTGGGGTGCTAGACTTCCACGCATTGACTGTACTTTGAATCCCTAACCTGGTAGTATGCTTTCTCACTTTCCCTCTTTTTCTCATTCTCTGGTCACATTAAAAAATACTAACATATAAATTAAATAATTATTTTTAAAAAGCATTAGGAAAGCAATCTCCAGTTTAGTTCATAAGAGGCAGAAACTTTTATTTCTCAATGTTTCTTGTAATTGGTTTCTGTCTCATTAGTTCGGCACTTCTGTCACTGGTGGTAGTATAAGGACGACATTCAATAACTGGGGAAAAGAAGAAATTTTCTTTTTAAAACATTCAATTTTCTTGATGAAAATGCATTAAAATAAATCTAAGTTTTCTATAACACTTACAGGAAGGATTTCCCCCCATATGGTTGCAATATTAGGGAGGAAAAAAAATTTGATCATTTTAATTTTCCTTGTCCAGTTCATTTTCTGTGTACCTTCTCCAATGGAGCAATAGTATCTTGGATGAAAGAATACCAATCTTGAGGTTTCAAGTTCTGTCTCTGGCTCTGATATTACATACAAAGTTCTTGTCCTACTTTTTAAAATAAAGATATCTGTGCTACTCATCTCATGATGTTATCAAGGGGCTCAAAAGAAGATATTAAAGTCCAAATGTATATATTGTTAGACATTTATATACTGTGGGACTATTCATAAGTGAGTATCTTCATGCAGCAGAATGATAAAGCAATTCAACTTACCATAAAGGGACTGGATACCACGTATGTCATCAGCAGAGAGGCGAAATGTGCTGGGATCAATGTAACGGTAGGTAGGGAACATTATGGCTTTTGGATCATTGGAATGTCCAAGGCCCAAGGAGTGACCGAACTCATGAACAGCAACGAGGAACAAGTTTGTGCCTAAGAGAAACCCAACCAAATGGGACTGAGCAGTGAACTACATTGTCACCTTGAGGACAGTAGCACATCTGACACAATGAAAGGAAAACACTCAGATATCCTTTATTTTTCTACTCTTTTCATCAGGCTTTCACAATCTCAGAAATACTGGCATTACAGATCAGATAATTTTTTGTTGTCAGGGCTGTCCTCTGCATTATACATGTTTATAAATCTCTAATTTTACCACTAAATACAGTAGCAACCCCCCCACTCCCAAGTTTTGACAACCCAAATAATGTCTTCAATCACTGTCAAATGCCCCTTTGGGGCAAAGTTGCCTATGGTTAAGGACCAATGAACTTGCAGGCAAATAAAATAAATTATGAAAATTCTTAGCATAACTCATAGCTGTGTTCAGTGGTTCTCATTGCTTCTAAATGATTCCCAGCTCCCATGACAGCATTCTGTTTTTACTCTTGATCAAGCTTCAGTGGGTGTAGAAAGTTTTTTTATAACCATTCTTCAGTAAACCCAAATATAAGGCCATTATTAAATTCCAGGCATTGTGAGTCACTGAGAAGTATAATACATTTTACCCAATGCTTATAGAACTGGAAGGAAGACACGTGGTTCTTCATTTGCAGATGTGAAAAGTTAGCCTAGTTGACCAAAGGAAGTGTTGGAGACAAGATTCAAATCCGAATTTCTTGATTTTAAAACTCATGCTTTTACTATGCACTTCTAAATAAACAAAAGGGACTATATGGATAATTTAGACATATTTAAACTACCAAGTTATAGTCATACTTATTCATTTTTTTCTGTGTTCTAGAGAGGAGAGAAGGGGTATGTCTTTTCTTTCAAATTTCTCAATTCTCAGGCAATTTGAGTAACTTTGGGCTGACATTTTTAATTGTGTTCTAATCCAATGCCTTCATTTTCGTCTTTTTGTTTCTCTACTGCAAAACTGTAGCTCAGAATCGACCAGCTCTGAAAGTCACATATCACTTAGCTGCAGAGCCTGGTCTTGAAACACTCTGATACCGAAGTGTGAACAGAGAGTCTACACCTCTCTCTTGGAGACCTGTGCCCAGGAACAGGTGCTCCAAGTATTCCCTATAATATGGGTCCAGCAACTAACTCAGCTGCTTTCTTCTTTAAAAAACAAATAAACAAAAACCACAAAAACTCTACATAAGACTGAAAACAGAAAGTTCTTACAATTTGGCTTAATGCTAAATTTATCCTAGTCCCAATTCTCATTACTCTGTGCAAATCTCATCTCAGAGTGATGGATTATATTTATGTTCTGTTTCCCTCTAGATTATGGACTCAAATATAGAACTGCTTTCTTTCCATTTCTGCATTCTAGCACCCCCATCACTCGGGACCAGCAGTTAGCTTAACGGCTCTGTCATTGGACTCCCATGCAGTCGACTGCGGTTCAAGTCCCAGACCTGGTGGCTTAAACTCATGCCGGGCACGTGTGTGTGCATGCCCAAGATCCCAAAAGGAGAATGGAGGAGAAGGGATTGTGGAGTGGCCATCCCCCATGCAGGGTGATTTCTCGCTTTCTTCCTCTCTGTGTCTCTCTGTCTCTCTGGCAAGCGCATGCGCCCTATAGGAAAAACTTCTCAAAAAAAAAAAGCACCCCCATCACTCAACACCATTATAGAAACTCAGTAAGGACTGAGCTAATTGTTCATTAAATTTACTTGATCATTTTCATATTAAAAAATTAAGTGAAAAATTAATTGAAGGCTTTGAATGGGAATTTTAAGTTGAAATTTTCATAAATAACTTTTTAGGAGTATAGAATCAAGCCAATTATAGAATCCATAAGGTGACATGAGCAGATGGAAAGTATGTCTTGGACTCAGGGCTGGGAAATACACAATCCAACCTGACTTTTTCAGAGACTAGCCACTAACCTTCACTTGGTCTCAATTCCTCTTTCCCTCTATCTGTAGTGAGAGGTCTATATTAAACTACTTTTTAAGGTCCATTATAATTCCAAAACATTCTTGGACTAGCCAGCATAAATCTCCCATTTCAGATTACAATCCCCACATAAACTTAGATAAAATTTAGATACATTTATCATGTCCAGTTGAGGATTTCTAGTTCAGCAAGTACCTAATTCTACACGATTTGTCTTTTGACAATACAAAAGCCCTCTTCATCAAACATTTTATAAGCCTTAGTGGATGTGTCAGACTTGAAACAAACACTTTCTGGTAGATGGCAGTGTCTATAAAAATAATGCCTATCCAGTGCATGCAATATGAAAAGAATGAGGTGCTGACTGAGCATATCCTTGCATATTCTTCCTCTTTATTGCCACGTGAATGAGCCATATAATCTAGAATTTCTAAAAGAAAGCTTAGAAAGGCTAATACAATGGTTTGAATTTTTGCATGCTAGTGATTCCCCAGGATAACAGGGCAGTTTAGTTAACCCCAACCCCCAACTGTCTGAGAAGGATGGTGAGCTGCAGTTCCACTGTAAACGCATACGAGGAATTGTTAAATGGTCATTTGGACACCCTGAAATTTTTATCCTAGAACCACACAAGACTACATGATTATATGATCCTGTGTTTCTATGTAGTGGTCCCTAAATTCTTTAGAGGATTTAGAAAGTTATCTTTCTTTGTCACTGTAAATCTAATAAACTGCTGATATTTTATAAATCACACAGATGACATCTTATCCTACAATTATTAGTACATATAGAATTAGTATCTGTCTTTGATTTTTAGTTTATGAATGTCCATGTCAAAAACTTTTCACCTAGGGACCAGCAGTTAGCGTAATGGCTATGTCTCTGGACTCCCACGTAGTTGACTGCGGTTTGAATCCCGGACCCGGGGGCTTAAACTCTCTCCAGGTGCGTGTACATGCGTGCCCAAGATCCCGAGAGGAGAATGGAGGAGAAGGAATTGCGGCGTGGCCGTCCCCCGGGGGAGTGATTTCTCGCTTTCTATCTCTCTGTCTCTCTCTGTCTTTCTGGCGAGCACATGGGCCTATAGTGAAAACCTCTCCAAAAAAAAAAAAAAAAAAATTTTCACCCAAAAAAAAGTTTTTTCAAAAAAAAAAAAAAAAACTTTTCACCTAAATAACAGTTTTTATCTTTCTATGCTACTGTTTCCTTGAGTTTATACAAATGAACTAGTTTATAGATCCTAGAATCCTCATAGATTATTAGAGCTAATTTTTAAGATAATATAGTCCAATATCCTCAATTTATAGCAGGTGAAACTGAGACTCAGACAAAATGCTAAATTCAATTCAGAGACAAAATTATAAATCAGAATGAATTTTTGTCAGAACATACAAGGTGACTTCAAAAGATTCAGGGAAAATAGAATTACAGAATCATTTTGTTTTCTTATAAAATATTTGAAACCATGGATAATTTTCTTAAAATACATCTTTTCCATGAACTTTATGAAAACTATATTTTCTTTCAAAATCAGTTAGGGTTTTGTTGGTTTCTTTTTTTCTTTTTTTTTTTCCTTTTCAAGTTTATTTATTTCTTCTATGAGTGAGAAAGACAGAAAGAGAAAAAGAAACAGAGACACAGCACCGACAAGGTCTGAATGCCATGATCCATCCCCAGCCTTAACCACCTCTGGATCAGGGGCACATATTCATGTACCCGATGTGTTCAGGGAGGTCTCTGGATGCAAATTCAGAACATTTCCATGTGGCTCAGGGTCACAGAGCATTGCATTCTATTGCTGTGCCACCATCTGGCCCCTATTTACTAGCTTTCTCCCCTTTACCTCTGGAGTTTATCGTCCACATTTCAGCCTCATCAAAATGTGCATCTCCTTGAATACCAGATCCAGGTCCAAAAGCATGGGCTATGATGCCACCTCTGCCATCAAAAGCACTGTAGTCTCCATGAGCTTTGAAAAAACAGAAAGAGAATTAGTCCTTTCCTACATCCTATGGATCATGCCAAATGACCCACATGTAGTTCAAGTTCTCTACCTCCATATGCAAAAAGTATCATAATGTCAGCTTCGCCCGCATCAATCTTTCTGAATTTCAGGGGTGTCACATTACTCCATACTTGAAATGCTTTCTGAATGGCGTAGTCCACGTCCTTTTGCTTCATGTCAGGAGTATAATTATTGATTCTTTATTAACATTAAGAGAGAAAAATATATGAAAGCCATTTGTTAATTTTGTCTTATCACAATACTTTATTTATGGTAGATCCATTGGGCAGGAATCATTTCATAAATCAAGAGTCCAGAAAAGAAAAACTTTTATTACATAGAGGCATTTTTTTTTCTTACAGTTTCTTCCTCAACCAAAATCTAACTGAATTTCTTCTTAATTATTACTTGACAGCTCATCACGATGAAGAATACTCTCATGAAAGCTTATGCCTTTAGCTACGGCTCCCCTATTTTTACATTTATCCATCTAGACTACTCGATGCAATTTCTCCCGTCTCTTATTTGTAGAATATTTGGCTTTATTCTCCTTTTATCTTTTTATTTACAGCTTTTCTACTCTGCTCTGGACTGGCAAGTCATATAATATCCTTGAAGAAACAATCTTCCCTTTCAGAGATAACAGGTTTTGTTGTTGTTGTTGTTGTTTGTTTGTTTTGTTTTATAATTTAAGGAGAGCTCTAATCGGACCAGATACAGGAAATACAAATCTGTGATTCTTACAAAGAGATAACAAAGTTTTTTGTTTTGTTTTTGTTTTGTTTTAGTTTTTTTTGAGAGATTTCTTCCTATAGGGCATGTGCAATCACCAGAGAGACAGAGCGAGACACAGAGACAAAAGTGAGAAATCACCCCCCCCGGGGGAGGGGCTGGTCAAGCTGCAATCCCTTCTCCTCCATTCTCCTCTCAGGATCTTGGGCACACACATGTGCTTGACATGTGCTAAGTTGCCATGGCCAAGACTCAATCACAGTCAACTACATGGGAGTCAAGTGACGTAACCATTATGCCATCTGCTGGTCTTGACGTAATTTAGTTTTAATGGAGAGTGTTAACAGTGTTAACAGTTGAAGAATGCTACTTATTTGCTTCCAGGTTTAGGGCTCTATCTAAATAGTTCAGGTTTCTAGAATTAGACCCATGGCAAAGTGGGAGAATACATGGCTACGTACACCTCTATTACCTGTAGGTGATAGAATGCGTCCTCCATACTGGCCTTCTTGGAAATGTACTGAACTGTTGAACATCAGGCACCCCACATCGAGGGGTGTGCATCATCTGCAGAGTAGACGCATCCAGTTGCCCAGTTATATTTAGCCCAAAGAACTGCTGCATCTCCTGGAGTTTTTCCTCTATGAGGTTGCTCTTGACTTTCATTTTTATCATTGGGGTTTCTTCCACCTTATGGCCATAGAAGTTTATCAAGTATTTCTGGAAAAAACACGTTCAGTAATGCATAAGTACACACAGAAGGATTCTGTTGGGAGCTCCACATACCCAATTGCACATTCATGCTTTTGAGCCAAGTATTTTGGACATCTTAATCAAAGTTTAAGTATTAATCTTAATCAACATTATTGTTGTCTGGGCAATTAATTATCATGAGAATAAAATCCTTAATTTTCTGTGCTATCAAAGACATGCCATATAGGATTACCAAAATTTACTCCTGGAAATCTAGTGCAACACCTTATGCTTCTACTTTTTTGAACTTGTTTCTAATCTTTAAAAGCTATTTCAGCACCTAGCATATCAGAATATTTAGTTAGCTCCAAAAGCTTCACTGTTAGAATATATAAATTACTGGGGCTAGCAGGTGACATGGTGGTTGAGGTGCTGAACTCCCACACGGTTGGCCACAGTTCAAGTCTCAGACCCGTGGGCTGTCAGACCTGGGGGCTTGGTTTTTCACTTTCCCTCTGTCTGTCTCCATCTCTCTCTGATAAGTGTTTGTGCCCTACAGCAAATTAAAATAATAATAATAGTGATAGTAAATAAAATTAAAGAATTTTTTTTAAAAAAGAATGCATACATTATTCATTTAAGTTGAGATAAAAATTCCTTGCTTAAAACCCCAGTGTTTAACGTAAGGGACGACTACAATGAATTTAAAGTAAAAATAATATTAGAAAATAAGGAGATGAAACTCTTTTAATTAGAGGGAAAAGGGTAGAATTGGGGGGAAAAAAACCTCTATTTTAAAAAATCCTTATGAAGAAAATGTGTAATAAATGAGGTAAAAACGAGTATACTTAAGTTATCATGCAGCCTAACGTGGTTAAACTGATCAAATCATTGCTCAAATCTCTGACCATTAATGGCATTAAATAATTAATGTGAAATAGTATATCAAAATTAAACTGCAATTATATTGAATTAAATTTTGTTAGCCAAAGCTTTTCAGTAGAAGAAATTCACCAATTTCATAAAACTCCTTCAAAACCAGTATTTCTCTTCTAATATTTCTTTTTGGCAAAGAAAAGTTCAGTACTGAAAACAAACTGCCTCTTAGACCAGTTTTTGACTAGTACTTTATAAAATAACACTGGTCAATGCACTAAATCCTAAAGACAAAATTCAAGCCGGATAAGTGCTATAGTGTCAATACTTACATTAGCAAATTCCACATCATTTTCTTGCAAAGTTGCCAAGGGAACAGCTTCAGAAACAGAGACCTGCAGGACCAGTGTCAACAGAAGAAACTTCATTGTAAACTTCTTCTGAATCACACTGAATTTAACTCTGTTCCTTTTTAGTACAAGTTCCTTAAATGTCCCTGTTTATATAGCCTTCAGAACAGGCTCTGAGGATATGAAATCCTTTGAGTGACTCACATTGATATCACCCTTTGATTTATCTCAAAAGCATGCAAACAAAAGGATGGCCTTATTCAACCAACAACGGGTTAGTTAGCACCTAACTCAACACTTACTTAGGCAACTCATGTGATATTTCTTTTTTTTTTTCTTTTCTTTCTTTCTTTCTTTTTTTTTTTAATTTTTGAGGGTTTTTTGCGATAGGGCACGTGCATTTGCCAGACAGAGAGAGACAGAGAGATAGAAAGGGAGAAATCACCCCCCCAGGGGGGATGGCCACGCCACAATCCCTTCTCCTCCATTCTCCTCTCGGGATCTTGGGCATGCACGCACATGCGCCCGGCATGAGTTTAAGCCACTGGGTCCGGGACGCGAACCACGGTCGACTACGTGGGAGTCCAGCGACATAGATATTACGCTAACTGCTGGTCCTGACAGTATATTTCTTCAAAATAATAAATAAGCCCCTATTCCCACCAACCCTACAAAAAAGAAATTCTAAGTGCCTAAAATGTAAGGACAACTTAAAATACATGTTTAAAAAGTTTAATACTCTTGGGCTAGGCCCATAGTACAGTGGTTAAACACAATGTTTTGAGAGCCTGATCCCACATGGTTGACCATTATTTGAACCCTTGTACTTGTGACTTGACGATCACACTGGGTGTGTGTGTCTAGATACCCAAGTGCCTTCTTTCTCTGGCAAAAAGAAAACAAACCAAAAAAAGCTAGTAGTCTCAATTTTCATTATAATACTTTCCTAATAGTCACTATAGATAATACAGTTTTTAAAGTAAATTTTAAAAGATTAGATAAATAAAATCTTTTTGCTAGAAGAGATGAGTCCTCTCTAAACTGAATCTAGCTCCCTCGAACACTGTGATGTAAATACTTCCTATTTAGCAAGGCAAAGTCATAACATCGAGGTGTTTCAGCATTCGTTCTACGGGTTCCAGAGGCTGAGATCCTGATTCTGTATCTTCAGCCCTCTACCTGGATAGAGAGATCCCAGAAGCAAACTTCCCCTAACTCCCCAAATGTCTAGAGTTGGCAGCATGAAGATGAATACTCTCCAACTTTGGGAGATAGAAAAAGTTGGCTTCTGAAATCTCTCCATCTCCTATTGACTGAGCTCCCTTCCTCTCTGACCTAACTGTCCCATTTTCACAGAATCTGCCTCTTAGCCACTAGGAAATGTTAAGGGCTGAAACTATTCAAGAGTCCAGGAATAAAACTGCAAATGTAGAATTATAAGCAGCAGGGCAGCTGAGTGGAGGTAAATCTACTTGACATTCCTCTGAATCACTCCATGAGTTGGTGGTCTCCTGATTCCACATGAACAGTCTGGAGGGTGGGATGCAGTACATGTGATAGTATTTATGATTCAGCCACCACCCTAGCCTACCTCCCTGGCCTGCAATACGCTGGCTACTCTTCAACACTTTTTGGAGGCCGAGACTCCAGAAGAATGATTTCTTCAAGGAAGAAAAGGAGGCCCTCTGCATGGATCCCTGGCATTTACTTCCTAAATACCTTTTTCAAATTTTATGATTCAACCTTTAAACCACTCAGGGGTTTCATTTGAAAATGAGGCTAATAGGGGCCAGCAGGTGGCATGGTGGTTAAGGAGCTGGACTTCCACATGGCTGATGATGGTTTTGAGCCTCAGACCTGGCGGCTTGCTTTCTCACCCCTGGCCTGCAATACGCTGGCTACTCTTCAACACTTTTTGGAGGCCGAGACTCCAGAAGAATGATTTCTTCAAGGAAGAAAAGGAGGCCCTCTGCATGGATCCCTGGCATTTACTTCCTAAATACCTTTTTCAAATTTTATGATTCAACCTTTAAACCACTCAGGGGTTTCATTTGAAAATGAGGCTAATAGGGGCCAGCAGGTGGCATGGTGGTTAAGGAGCTGGACTTCCACATGGCTGATGATGGTTTTGAGCCTCAGACCTGGTGGCTTGCTTTCTCACTTTCTCTCCATGGTCAAATTTTAAAAAATAAATAAATAAATATAATGATTAGTTAAAAAAGAAAATGAGGATAATAACCTTTGCTTCCTTATGCTTTCGAGGTGATTAAATGAGACAATGTATTATAAGTACCTGCATATACTACAGGTGCTCACTAATATTCATTTCCTTCCCCTTGGCCTGATGCATTTAAGTGTGAAACCAGATGTGGCTCTAGGACTCAGGAACAGAAAGATTAAAAGATTTAATTAAAAGATAATTCTTTCAAATACTAAATTTAATTCAAGAGTCACAGAGGAACACAAAAAGAGCTTAACTAGATAGCAGAAAATATAGGATTTGTGGAAAATATGAGAAGAACTGGTTTTCCATCATTTATTCCTGGTACCTAAAACTACCTTGAAATTAGTAGGTGCTCAATAAACATAAGCGAATGAGTCTAGTTGGAGACTATGACTGCCAGGCTAGCAGGAGTAAACTTCCCTTTGGGAGCAACCATTACATGGAGCGTGTGCCCCTAAACCTTACTGAAAGCAAGAATTGGTATTATCAGCCTAAGAAAGTATCTGGTACTTGGAAGATTTACAGGAACTACCTTGAGAACATAGGAAGTAAGATACAGCACAGGGAAAAAGCTGCCAAAGATACAAAGAAGTGAAAGAATATCCTCATTCAGAATAAAAAATAGAATACTACACCCGAATTTTAATTCTCTGTGAAAGTCTTAACTTGTGAGTCTTGACTCAACAAGTTCCCCAAATGTGTCAAATATGAGGAGATAATGGCCCCTTGGGCATCTTTATCATTGCCGTGGTCATAAGCGTAGGTTCTGAGATAAAGGTGATCTGCTTTAGAGTCTTAGCTTCATCATTTTGTGATCTTAGGAAATCATTATAATCCCTTTAAGACTGGAAATACTGGGATGGGGGAGAATGTGTGTGCGTGGGTGTGCGTGTATTAAGGAGGTGAGGGGAGAAGAGAGAAAGAGAGAAAACACTTGCCAACAGGATTGATCATGCCTCCATTCATTTTCCTCCTTTCCTTCAGGATCCTGGGCACGTGCCCAGCTTGTCCAGGGACCAAGATTTGGACCATAGTCAGTCATGTGGGATCCAGCTTCCACTGCACAGCCCTTAACCACTACACTGAGAGGCTGGCCTCCTTAGCTGATCCTTTCATACACCAACAGTCTGTTCATGCAGTAAAAAGAAAACAGATTTCTGTCTCCCTGTGAGCACCATGATATTCTTAAGCATTTTAGTCAAAGCTGCCCTTTGCTCTTGTGGGTGCCAGGCATAGTCAGATAGTCCTGGGAATGTTGCAGGGGCTCTGGATTCCTGAGGGAGATGGTAGTGCTAGCCTGTCTGGAGGATGACCTTCTGAGCAGCTCCTCTCCTGTCCTGATGCTGAAGCATCTTCTGTTGCCTGAGATTTCTCTTGAACTGGCAGGAGCCCCTCTGAGGAGCACAATGTTTGGAGTCATCCCAGCCAGTTGTGTGAATTTAATCACATAAACTTATACTGGCCTCATTTTTTTCCCTATGTAACATGGGGATAATAAAATTTTGTAAGGGAAAAATAAATCCATGAAAGGCATATGGCTCTGCATCTTCGGAGGATAGGACCTTAGAAAATGCTAATCCTTTGCCTTCTACCACTATCTCTATGCCCAGGTATGTCAGTCATGCCATGTTTGCATTAAACCAGCTAACTTTTTCTGCATAGGAGATTAGTTAACCAAATAATGAGTAAAATAGAATTGTCTAAAACCTTTGATAGAAAATACACTTGGGGGCCACCAGATAACATAGCAGTTACATCACTAAACTCCCACATTGGCAACCATGGTTTGAGTCCTAGACCCGGTGACTTCAAAATCATGCTGTGTACATGTGTGGCCAAGATCATGGGAGGAGAATGGAGGAGAAGGAATTGGGGTGTGGCCATCCCCCCTGGGGAGTGATTTCTTACTTTTCCTTTCACTGTCACTTTCTCTGTCTCTGGAAAGCACATGCACCCTAAGGCAAAAACCCCTTAAAAAAAAAAAAAAGAAAAGAAAATAGATTTTGAGGGCAAGTCCATGCTCTGGTGGTTGAGGCAGCTGGATCCCACATGGTCAATTATGCAGTTGAAGTCCTGGACCCGATGGCCTTGAAAAATATGCTGGGTGAATGTGCATGTGTGCCCAAAATCCTGAGGAGGAGGGAGAAATGGAAGAGATTGCAGCAGACCATGCTCCACAGGGGGTGCTTTCTCACATTCTCTCTTTTTCCATTGAGCATTTGCACCCATTGGCAAATTAAAAAAAAAAAAGAAAGAAAGAAAACGTAGATTTTGTGTAGGAAAATAGAGCTGTTGAATAGTTCTATATTCTTCCTCAGTTTTCAACCACAAGTTCATTTACCCCAACAAGTAGCTTAGAAACGGTTGAGGTTGATGATAGAGATTGGTTCATCTGCCCCTCCCTCCTTCTTCTGGAATGAACTGAAACTTCTATACATGGAGCTGCTATTCAGCTCACCTTTGCAAAGCAGAGAATGCCTTCCAAACTAGTGCTCAGACCAAAGTTGTATCAGAGACCTACCTAACCCCAGGGCATTCTCCCAAGCGGAAAGTTGCAGAATACTGGCCAAAAACTCTGGAATGTACCAGGTAGGAGAAGGACCATCATGCTGGGTGCAGTGCAGAAAAGGGAAGAAACAGGGAAGGTAAAGATTGCATCATTCGTTTTTCTTGTCCCTCCGTTCTACCCCCCTTTCCAACAACTACAGGCTAAGACATAAAATACAACAAAAAGTGATGTCCTATTTCATACCTCATGAGGTCACAAGAATGCGGTAACGTGGACATATTTATTGTCACTGGGCTGTTTACTTTCCTGTTCTTTCTTTCTGACAATGAGGTTAATACCTCTGGGTAGAGATAATGACTCAGAAATCTCTAAACTGAC